AAAAAAAAAAAAATACCATCATCATTCTTTACAGATCTAGAAAAAAACAATTCTACGTTTTGTATGGAACCAGAGAAAACCTCGTATAGCCAAAGCAATCTTAAGCAAAAAGAACAAATTGGAAGGCATCACTCTATCAGACTTCAGGCTTTACTACAAGGCTATAGTAAACAAAACAGCATGGTCCTATCCTTCTTTGAAGCACAGCCCAGCCAGCCAGACTGCCTATGCCCCTCTTAGGCTCTGTCATTTTATACATCACTGAGACTGAATCTAGCCTCAGAGAAGTCCTCTCCATTCCAAGTGCCCTCATCAATTTGGGCAAAGTCAGAGCCTATCTAGACAATCCATCCAACAGGCAGCCACGAAGTTCCTGGAGATCCCTGATTTGTACCAACTCTAACTGCTCACCATCTTAGTATTCCCTTCCAAGACCATGTTTTATATTCTGTCACCAGCCAGCCAAAGCTGTTCTCCTCTGAAAGTTCAATATTCAAAGTTAACTTTCTGTGCACCATTCGGTTCCATTATTCCAACTTGCTTGTGACTTAAAGGAACTTCTAGTCTCCTGACCCTGCATTTTTCACTCCAACCATTACCTGCCCCATTCTCCCTTTTGGATCCATTTCCTTCGCTTCCATTCTACACACTTTGTGCATCATTCTGACCACTCCTTGCCAGCACCCTCTTTCTCACCCCTCACTTGTCAGTCTCCCACCCAAACAAATGCCTAATTTGGCTCAATTTGCCCATGCTCACACTTCTTATAGGCAGGCTATGAAATGCAACTGAACAAACCCACATGCCAACATGAAGGGTGCCATTGCATTTATTCTTTAACCACAGCGGGCCTTCAAAAACACTCAACTATACTTTAATATGATGTTGGTCAGATTCTTCTTCCAATATTCTCAGAGGCTAATTCAAACCTTTGCCATTCTTCTCTACATCTTGTCTTAAAAGTCACAGAAAAAGCAGAGCCACCAGATATGAACAAACTCACACCATCCTCCTCCAAATCTATGAAGGTGTAGCTTTGAGACCATCCTGACTTCACCCTTCCTCCACTGCGGGAGTGCTCATCTTCTTCCAGTCTAACGATACCCTCTCCACCTGCAGCCCCTTTGGGATTCTGTTATCAGTTACGCCCTTTTCCTTCTCTCCATTAGCTTCTCTGTTTAGTTCATGAATCCGCTGTGGTCCCTCAATCCTGGACTCCCTCCAGCTATCTCCCTGCAAAGTCAAACTACTTGAAAGAGTCTCCAGTTTCTCCACTTTCTCATGCCCCATTCACACTTCAGTCCACTGCACTACAATGAACCTACTCTCAATAAGTCATTGCGAGCCTGATTGTCAACTTCGACAGTCATTGGTTCCTAGTTTACTCAACTCTCTGATTAATCAAATCAACTCTCTGATATAACTTTGAACAAGCCATGTCAGTACATTTTAATAAACATACAGATTTTTATTCCAATTCTAAGTTGTCAGTTCATCAGGGTATGGTAGAAATAACACAAGCTTTCAATATCAGACAAAGAAAAGTCTGCGTAAAAGCTCAATCTTTTCATTGCTTTGTGACTTGGAGGTGTTGGACCTCCCTGAAGCTCAATTTTATCAGTGAACATCAGGATGGTTATAACAACTCACCCAAACACTTGATGTTCAAGTACTTAGTACATAGTGATTGCTCAATACTGTTTATTTCCTTCCCCTTTACTGGATGAAATTTATTTTTGTACATTTTTACACTTTCATCCTAGCATGTCTTCACAAAGATTACAAAAGTCTCTCCCATGACCAAGCTATTATCTCCATGAATTGACAGCCCAGTGATGGCTTCTCTAGTCCAGGACCTCTCAACAACTTTCAGGTTTTCTTTTTAGAGAGTAACATCTACTGTCTTCTTTTCTTGGCTAAAACATGCAAAAGTGATAAAATCAATAGAAGAGATAAAAAAAATCGATTTACCTTAAATCCTAATCTGTTGCCAACAGTTGCTTGGAACTGAAACTATGGACGCTTTCTCTTGCACCTGGGAAAACCGGTCACTCCCTTGCCCCATTCCTCCTCCCTCTTACCTGTCTTCCTCAGCCATCCTAGTCCACTCTCTTAGTGCTGATTGGATAGCCTGGGATCACTGCTGCAGGCACACAGCCTGATTGGCTCAGCTTACTGTCAATCCTTACTCTGGCCCTGCCTTTTCTCAAGTTTACACTCCTGTTGCCTAGGAAATCCCAGTGTCTATGAAAGCTCAAGCTGTTTGCATAGGGAGAGAAGCCAGACGGAAGTTTAGCTGGCAATTGTTTGGTTTCTAGCACAGCATCAAACCCTACCTCCTATGTTTTATGAGGAAGTATTCAGCAAATTATCTTCCTTCTTTTAGGTAGTCCCTTCCTGCCCTCTGCTGTCCCCAGGAGCTTTACTGCTAGGGTCCCTTATTACCAGGTAAAACTTAAAATCACAACTCTCGGGAGCAACCAGGTGTAATTATAGGTGATTCCAAGTCCTCCCTCCTTCTTTGCATTCACACACTAAGCTGATGCCATTTCTGCTATTTCCATCCTTGGTTTCTTCTCTTCTTTTCTCATTTCTTCTCTTTTCGCTTCCCTTTTTTATGCATTCATTGCCATTACTGTACCAGATAAGAAGCAGTCTAGTGGCCTATTTAGAGGAAAATATCTAAATTATGCTCTCTTTCATTGTATATCTATGACATCCACCCTACCCTCTCCATTCTCTCCCCTATGCCCCCGCTCTGAGGAGCAAGCAGGTTTTCAAATCTTCTCTCTCTCTCTCTCTCTCTCTCTCTCTCACACACACACACACACACACACACGTGCATGTGCACACTTCTGCATGTGACATGATCCAGGCTGTGTGCACCATCCTTGCAGCATGAGAACTCACAGAACTGGATAGATGCCAGGCACCCAGCTCTGCAGAATACGAGGCAAATATTTCTGTGGATCTGGCAAGGAATTGAGCCCTTCACTATTTCTGTAGGGAGTATATGTAGCTTTATCTTTTTGTTTGAATTGTTTCAAGATATGTTTTACGACACCAGAATTAGGCAATCAGAACAATGGTTCTTTCAGGGCAACCCCATGTCTCTAATGTTTTCTTCTCAAAGGGTTAACTCACCAGATATCATTTACGTATCTGAAACTTTTAAGGAGGAACTCAAATCTCCATCTGAGATTACAAAAGCAAATATAAGTGCACAAGCATTGGAATGTGAAATGCTTTCTGAAACCCATCTACTAGAGAGATGCTTTGCTGTAGTAATTTAAGAAAGGCGATAAAAAGTAAAAAACAAACAAACGAAGCAAACTAACAATAAACAGGGAAGGGGGAGCTATGGACAACATGACAGAGCCACCATACAAGCCCTTGATGCTCTGCCTTCAGGTTTTACCACAGAAAGAAAAAACAAAAACTATTGTGTGTTTAAGCCAAGCTTTTGCTTGTTTCTGTTACTAGCAGCTGATGTAATTCTCAAAGGTTCACCACATATAGGGATATTCTCTGCCAGATCTGGTTCAGAAAACTGGATCTGAGTTTCTGGCATTGGCTGTCTAATGGATTAATTATATTTTAAAGCACTAATGATTCTTTCCAGTGGTAAAGAGAGCATTGATAGTCCATGGTGTGACATAACAAAAGGATACGCAAAATATCATTACTGGATTTCTAGTCCAATGTTTATAAAAGGCAAAGTTATGGATGACCATAGTACCTTAGGATATTTTAGTCAAACCCGTGAACATAAGGAGGATGACTGGCTGCTCCTAACTGTGGTGGGCAGAATGAAGAAAGAAAAGGATGAACTCAGGGCTTCAAATTCTGAATTCAAGCTCCACATAAATGATCTGAAAGTTTCTACGTCTTCTCTGAAGAATATACTTGCTTCCTACTCTTGCCAGGCTGAAGTTTCAGAAAAGCAAATCCAGAATTTTATCCTGAGTGTGGCTGAATTACAATGCAAATTGAATTCCTAACCAGGCAAGGTGTCTTCTGCTAAACTGAGGAAATTGACTGGAAAGTATTGAGATTTGGACAATTGCATGGAAACATACAGACAGATTCTGATGAAGCAGAGGACATTGAACCTCTAAAGTCTTCTGAACTTTAATTGCTAATAGAAGAAATCTTTCTATCCTTATCTGAGAAGCTTCATCCCGATTTGTCAGAAGAAACAGTTCTGGCACCCCTTAAGTATTTTACTTGGAAGACACCACTGATTCTCCTCAGAACCTACTCCCACAGAACATCTTGACTTCGAGATCTATAACTGGATCCTAGCCCTGGCAGGCTTGAAAGGGAGAAGTAAACATTGTGACCCACCAGGAGATACCCTACACACCAGAAGAAATGCATGTTTTTCTCAATACATACAGAAAGAAATATGGTGAATATGTGTGGGAATGTATCTTAATAGTGTGGGATAATAATAGAAGGAATATAAGTTGTGTAAAGATGAGTTTATTGCTATGGGTCTGAAAAGCACAGATTCTTGATTCAGTGTTTCAGCTCAATGGGTTAGATAGAGCTCTGTTTGTTTGGTTGAGTTAAAGATAGACCATAGGGTGGCACACATTAATGAAGTTGAAGTGCTAGAATTACCTTGGGACACTGTAGAGGAATGTACTCAAATGCTTAGGGAGATTGAAATGTTAGACTGGATTTATCATGTAAGATCTGATTACCAAGGGAAATTGGGTTGCTGCTACACACTGGCAGAAAAGAAAACTAAGTCGGGAATACAGGAGAGCTTTAGCATGTCTCTAAATATTTTCATGCCCTGTTATTAAAGTCAATGAAAAACTACAACAACCCAATTCAAGAAGAAAAACTAATAGCTCAAACTCTCCAGGAATGAAGGTTTTGGTCACCCTATCAGGCAAAGAACTAATTGAGGTGCTTGCTGAGGGCAAAGGGACTATGGAATATGTACAAACACTAGCTATCGCCACATGACCAGCTGCGTGAACAAGGACTGTAAACGTTATGATTATAAAGGAATACTGTAAAGCTTACATGCCAATAAATTAGATAACATAGATGAGATGGGCAAATACCTCAAAAGACATAAATTACCAAAGTCAACTCAAGAAGAAATAGATGATCTGAATAGGACTATAAAGAATAAAGTTGCCCACTTAGGTAAAGAACTCCGGGAGTCTCTTGCCACCTAAATGCCCAATATATAAATTAAAGTTACACATGTCTCTGCACATGCTAAAGATACAATACACAGCCTTCACAAGACTCCCCTTATTCCCTTCAGGCTTCCAGACATTACTGATAGTGATGAAGGCACCAACTTCACTTCTTAACATGCACAACATGGGGCTTTTTTGAAAAAGGAGTTCAATGAAACTTTCAACTCCCTCACCGCCCTCAGGCTGCAGATCTTATAAAGTGTCCTAGTGGTTTACTTAATCAAGTTCAAATTCAAATAAATACCAAATGGTACATTCCACTCATCAGTTAAACATCAGAGAGGAATTGGAATAGAGTCTGGATTTATTTCTGATCCTTGGCTCCTGGCATCTTTGAAATTGCACCCTCTCCCTTCCTCTTCTGCCCCACTTGTGGGCAAGCTGATAAGAAAGCCTGGGTGCTCCCTCCTTTGGGACTAGCAAGAAGTTCAAGACAGGCAGGGGGCTCTTCACTCGAGTCCTGCCCTCTAACCACCAAAAAACCCCAAGACACTCTCCTTTTCCTACTCTCTCAATTGCTTCTTGTAACAACTTGAGAGTTGCCTTACTCTCCCCAGACAACCTCATTAAGTTATTAACAAACCTGTTCATAACCTCTTGATATGTATGTTCTGCCTTAAACCTCAACATCCCATCCTAATTATGGGTGGAGGAGTCCATCCTATCTCTGAGAGTGGCTAAAACAATTTGGGAAGAAATAATAGTAATTTTGCTCAAACTCTTACAGAAAATTAAAGAGAAGGAACACTGCCTCATTCATTCTATGAGGCCAGCATCACACTGATACCAAAGTCAGAAGAGCCATCATAGCAAAAGTACAGGACAATATCCCTGATGAACACAGATGTAAAATTTTAAACTAAAATTTAAGTGGACAATCAAAAAGTATGTAAAAAGGAAAACACAACTTGACCAAGTAGAGTTTATTCCTGGTTAGTTTAACATTTGAAATTCCATCAATGAAACTCATCATATTAACAGAACATACAAGAAAAATCAGAAGTTCATAATAATATATGTTTTAAAAAAGCATGAAATTGAATTTCATCAAAATTAAAAATGTACTCTTCAAAAGACACTGCTAAGAGAGTGAAAGGGTAAGTCAGAGACTGGGAAAGAGTATTTGCAAAGCACGAAACTGATGATTTACATCTAGAATATATAAAGAACTCTGGAAACTCAAAAATAAGAAAACAAATGACCCAATTTTAAAATGAGCTAAAGACTTGACAAACACTTAACCAACGATAATACATGGATGGCAAATAAACACAAGAGAAGATGTGCAGTGTCATCAGTCATGAAGGAAATACAAATTAAAACCTCTATAAAATACCGCTACATATGTATTAGAACGGCCAAAATGAAAAAGACTGTGGCAGTGTGGACAAGGATGTACAGTACCTGGAACCCTCATTTACTTCTGGTGGAAATGTAAAATAGTACAGCCGCTTCAGGAAATGGTTTGACAGTTTCTTAAAAAGTTAAACATGCACCTACCATGTGACTCAGCCACTGTACACCTAGTTATTTTGCCACAAGAAAAGAAAGTAAATGTTTACACAAAGACTAGCATACAAATATTCACAGCAAATTTATTTGTAATATACGATATCCACAGAAAATTTATTTGTACTAATCCCAAACAGGAAACAACCCTAATGTCCTTCAATAGACAGCTGGATAAGTACATTGTGGTAATCCTTACAATAGAGTACTATTACACAATAAATACAAATATATTATTCATATATACAACATGAATGAATCTCAAAATAATCATGCTGAGGAAAACAAACCAATATAAAAGAGAACATAACTTATGATCACATTTATATAAACTCTAGAAGATGTAAACTAGCAAATAGTGACATATAGTGATTAACTAGCACGGGGGCTAAAAGGGGGGTTCAGGAGTGGGGATTAAGAAGGACACTAGAAATCATTTGGGGGTTATGAATATATTCATTATCCTGACAATGT